AATCAAATCATAAATGTTGGGATGAATTATGAACTTGTATAATGTTACACATTGAGTGAAATTGTGAAATTAATAATTAGAATAAATATAGTTAAGATGGAATGATAAAGATAATAATGTAATTACAAATCAGGGATCACATAATATATAGAATAATATGGAATGTATTCGAATTAGCAAATAAGTGTGGATGCTGAATTAATTTTTCGAAAACGTTGCCAGGTATTAAAATAATAATAATAATAATAATAATATATTCATACTCTTTCTAATTATAAAAAATCATTATTTTATTCGACAAAATCAAATGTCATCAACTAAGACACTTTAAATGAATGGAATAGTAGTAGTACAATCTACATTGTGATTGCAACAATATTGACCAGTTAATTAATTACAAAACCGATGATTTCTTGTATATAAGAAATGTAAAACGTTCTTTGAGATTTATCAAAGTATAAAACGTTAAGTTTTTATCTTCAATGGAGTTGACATTCAAAGAAGAAGTTTTAGTCATCAGTTGTGTTGAATTATAGAATATGAATAATAGAGACGAGTGAATATTTATAAAATGAATGCATTTAATGCAATTTAGTGTAAAACCTAAATTTTGATGAGCAATAAGAATTATTAGTTTAGATGTATGTACATTATATGTTTGGCAATATGAGTTCTATAGAACTGAACACTTATAGAAAATCTTTTCAGTTTCTCTAATATTCCATCTAATATTAGTAACGTTTCAGTAAAGAGACCATATAATGTTGTACCCGCATGATACTACACAAGATTAAGTCAAAGACTTTTTTATGTCTGTGAAAAACACGATAATTTAAAATAAATAAATTTAGTCTCTCATTGAGTCAACAACGTAGTGGATAAAACAGTTATTGATCTGTACCATTCAATAAGAAACCCTGTATACCATGAATCAACGGAACAGGTGCATAGTGGATCTACAAGTTATATCGGTTATGAAACCCTAAAGTTTTAATATGACCAGAAATTACTGTTGTAGATCCGTAAATTAAAATGGAATACGTATAACGCTTTGTCCCATGCCCTAAATGTTGTTCCAGACAATGTGGATCTATCCGAATTAGGTTCAACTACAAATAATATTTAATTTATGTTAGATAAAATAGAAATATTGATTCCATAAGTATTTACAAAATGCAATATCAAGGATAATTATTATAATAACCAGCAGTAATTATCAATATATTTCATATCAGATAAAAATATACTATTTATTCATTGATATTGTATGCAAGAAAAGCGATCCACTTGAGCTATAAATCTGCTTCACCATCTCATACATATAATCATTTTCAAATAAAAGATAACTAAACAATATCATCAAGATATATTGTTACCAACCTTAATGATAACTAGTTATTATTATTCTTTTAACTTAATAAATCTGATCAAATTATAATTAATTAACCAATCGGATTATTGTTTCTATGACTTAATTCAGCATAGATTTAGGACATTAATTAGAATCTAATCTACAATTAGGAAGTGGTTATTATTATTTTTTTATTTATTATAAAGATTGAATAATAAAATATTACTATATGTTAATATTATTAGATTATATTTTGATATTTCATAGTGTAATAATACAATCTGTTATCTATGGGATAATCATAATGAATGACAATGAAATTCTATTGGCTATTCATTAGATTTTCTTTCAAGTTTTTTTGTTTTGTTTTGATTTGTAATGAATAAGAAATAAATTCTAAATCTATCCATTTGGAGATATTCTAATTAATGAAAACAAGAATCAGGATTTAAGCAAAGAATAATATGAAATCAGTTTAATTGATTGGGATCTCGTCAACTACATACAACCTGTACTATGTTAAAATTAAAATGACAGAATGAGTTGAAATAACTTGAATAAATGAATTTAATTGAAAGGTGTTATGAACATGGAACAGTATAGTATAACAACAATGCAAATCGGTTGAAGAGAAGAAATAAGATATTGTACGAAAGAACATTCCACAATATTGATAATAATTCCAGGCGTCCTGTTTGAATATCTAAGCTACTTGTTCCTGCCATTTGGATATTTCAACAAGTTATCTATTTTTTTGTTTGTTTTAACGCATCAATATGCTCATTAGTCACATAACCGATTCAAGAGCGTTTGTGACATCTTTACAATAATTAGTTGGACAGGTTACAAAAGTGCCCAACCATAGACATCGTGGTTGCTGGCAATATGCATCGAAAAGAATGTATATTATTCAAAAGTTGATTACCAAACTGCCAATATCTAACTGGCGACCATTCAACATTTATCTCAAGGATCGATCAAGATATAAGGAAAGGAAACTTGTTGAAATACTTTATGCTGAGAATTCTATATCGTACCAGAAATATAATCTTGAATAAAGCCAATGATAATAATAACAAAGTACTAAGGAATTGTTAGCAAATGGTTAGGTAATCAACAAATGTTGATAGTAAATAAGGATAGAATAAGTAAAGCTAAATTACTTAAAATAAATTCGTTAATCTAGAAGAGTCTTAAAATGGAAGTAGCATTACAATCAATTGAAAGAGTTGAACAAAGTTTCAAGTGGATGTTAGGACTCAGAAGCTAAGTGGATAACGGGATTGCATTTGAAGCGAACGGTACTGGGTTTTACACCCGGAGTGAACATCAAGTCTGGGATGCAAGTACACCCAGCTAACGAGTCAGAACTAGGACAAAATACGCGTCCTGGATTCCACTGCTAGTCATCATCCATTTTCGCTTATAATGCTTGTGACTTAGGTAATACTAAGGCAATCCTCACAGGATGCACATATGTGAATAAGAGACTGAACGATTGCAGTCCTAAACATCAATGGGAAGATTCAAACAAACAATGTCAAGTGAAAAGTTTTCATTATGTTACAAAGAGAAGTTTTTATCACCAAGGTAGAGAAAGATTAGCAACCATCTTCTTTTGAACACAAACCACATTTCTGAAGCTTGATAGGAAACACCTAAGTAAACTAACAGAGGTCTATTCATTTTATTCTTACTCACTACTAACATTTTTTCATTACCTAACCATTCGCTTGTAATTTCTTATTATTCTGTTATTATCAATATTGTGAAATGTTCTTCCGTACAATATTTTATTTTTACATATTATAGGTTGCAAGCAGTTGACGAGAACTCAATGAAATAAATTGAATGCATGTTATTTTGCCCAAATGTTTCTTCTTACTTTCTTCAATGTGATAAAAGAAACAATGGGTATCATATTTCACCAATGTTTGGTTTTACCTAAGTCTTTGAATACTACATTAATTCCTAGTTCCGAAATTGGATCAGTTAGTTATTATTATTTTCTTACTACCTGTTGTTTGTACACAAATCGACCAGCTGATATCTTGTGACATTTTAAAATCAAATGTGACCATAATATTTATGTGAGGCTTTTTTTACTTCATGAAGTATTTTCATTCATCTTATTATAGTATACTAAACAAAGAGCTACAATTTTTACACAGATAGTTTAGGAAAATTCAGTATGCTAAAGTTTGAAATTAATATTCAATTCAGTTTTATTCCTAATGCCAATTAATCACGCGGTCAGTTTTAATTTTGAAAAAAACAATGGATCTCATTTAAACAGCTGATTAGTTTCTATAGAATTGATATTCTGATGATGGTTATTTAAGCAAATCATTAAATTAATAAAATATTGACTATTGAAGTATTTAGCTTGTATTGATATCATGAGTGAACCAACGTTAGACCACTATTTGAAACCCGGACGCAGTGGACGGCCGTCCCGATCAGGAATAGGACACCTCAGAAGTGCGCGCCCACGCCTCGCACACGGGACTCGAACCCATGACCTTCGGTCTTGCTCGCGAACGCCTAATCTCTAGGCCACTGAGATGGCATCCGACGGTGTCAATGTTTAATTTTAACCAACCCATAGTATTGCGTGACCGTTCAACATTGTCTTCGGTGAGTAAATGCCTCTACAGACTTCTCACTAGAACTCCAGGAAATTCATCTTGATGCTAGTCAACAGTGAGCACATGATAATTATCAGTATAGAGTTGTGTAGATTGTTGAGTTTAGATTGATATTATGAATGGATCCGTGTTAGACTAGTTCATCCTGATATTTAGTTTTTGTTATATTTCCACATCTAGGGTCTACCATAATTATTAGATGGATAGGTGCAATCAGAAAGAGAGTAAATTTTTTCGAAGCTAAAAAAGCACACATAAATTGTTTGGTTGAAATATGAAATTATTTACAGTATTTAATTATTTATAACATATAGTATGTTGACTAGATATATCTTAAGAAAAATTTGCAGATGTCATTATTCATACAGTAACTGAATATGGATGTCTACGAATCGTACTGAACAGTTATCTTAATTCCTACGATATTTTAATATTGGTTAAACTAATAAATCTTGCCTTCCATTAAATACAAATAACAAATATATAAATTTAAGAGCAAAACAGATATTTATATATTACAGCATTTTGCTTTACATTCTAAAATTCAAATCATTTAAACAAATAGATTCTAGAGTGAATAGATCACAGATAGATCATTGTTGAATTATTCTTATCTATCATTCTCCCTTGTAATTAAATTGAAAAAAAATCATGAAGGAGAAAAATGGATTTTCATTTCAAAGAATTTAATAACAGGAGAATTCTAATTTATAGTTTCGTTAGTTTTTGTATGCATGACGATGTGAATAATCATAAGGCAGTTGAATGTGTATAGTTTAAGCCCTGAGATTGATAGATGTGCTTATAATTTATGTACAATCACATGTAAACAATATATATATATATATATATATATATATATATATATATATATATATATATATATATATTGATGTTAATCTGAATAAGACTTTATATCACAGTCGTTTACAATAATTTACCATATACATTAATTAGAATATTTTATCGCCTATAGAATAATTATTATTGTGTGTATTGTTTCATATTATTCCAGTAATCAATGGTCGTGAATTTGGTGAATTGGAAAGACATATACACATATCTCGTCCATAATCATTACTAATTCCTTCATAATCCATTGAATGATTCATTTGTTGAAGAGATGTACTCGATAATAATACTTCATTCGATGTCATTAGACCATTTCCTAAACTATATACTTCGGAATTTTGAATTGATAATCGACATTTGCATAATGGATAAGATTTTGAATACACAATGACATCATTATCATTAGGAACGTCATATTCCTTATCGTTATTGTTATGTTGGTTAAATATTGGTTTAATTGGACTATTTTCCATATTCCCTGGAGTAGTTAAACTATGCATTACATTTGATGTATCTTGATGTGATGATTTATCACATTTCATAGGATTTTCACTTTGAAAATTTAAAAATGCACGTTTTTCAGGTATCGAAGTAGATGGTTTATAATCAAATGCTCTTTTATTGCTAGTGCATACTGAAGAGTTATTTGGAACAGAATCATAGACACGTTGATACATTTGTTCATTTTGCTTGTTTGGATATAAAACTCTTAATTCTGAATACGTTTTAGTTTGAATTGAGTTCTGATTAGGTGTACTAGGTTGTTTCACAGGATCACATTGTTGTGTGTTATATAAATGATTACTTGAGTCATTTTCGGAAGAGGAAATGTTTTGTACATCAACTGATTTATTATCCGTTTGTGGTGTATTAAGTGCTTCTCGATTTAATAATACAGATCTTGCTTTCTTAGCAATTTTTAAAATTACCATTATCCTGTATAAGCGATTACTTGGTGAAAAATTATTGGATGTCTTTTTAAAAGTGATATGTTGAGATGATTCAAATGTAGTTGATCTGTTGGAGTTATTCATTAATAAATTATTTTTATTCTCTGTTGATCTTAAAAGTGGTCCTGTTGATGGTTGTAAGGTACTTTGAAAATTCTTCAGTTTATTGATTGAAATCTCCATGATAAGTTTCAGTGCTGATGATGTTATTTCATTATATGAAGTTTCCACTTCTTGTAGATTCATATTTTGATTACTTATAAGAATGACGTTTTCAAATATATTCTGATTTGTTTTTTTGTTTGAATTTTTCAAACAAAAAAAAAAGTTTTTATTCAAAGTACTTTGATGGACATTACATTAGTTTTTATTAAACATTTAACCAATGATAATTCTTTATTTTTGTTTAAATTCGTTAATTACATTATGGTTGGTTAAATTAATGTCATTAACGGTTTCGTATCACTCAACTACTTGCAGGGTGGCAGCATTTAAGTAATGATCAACTTTAAAGTGTCGTCGACTAAGACAACACATGTGGGCGTAAGTAAATTAACAAAATTTGATTGCTACATAATTTGAACAGAAAACAATTACTTAGACCAATAATAGTAGACTAAGGCTAATTGACATTAATTATTCGGCCATAATGAACCAATCTAAAGTAAGTAATATTATTTATCGATTAATTATCAATATTCGCCTACTCACCATTTGAATATACGCCCTCGTACTCTGTTTGACATGCCATAATGTTCACCATCTTCGTCAACTTACAAAATAAGTATTATTTCTTAGTTCTGGTAGAACATTCGAAAGCTTACATCAGACTACACCAATTTCTGGATTAATTACGATTTATACTACAATGAAAATCTATGAGAGGTTTGAAATTTAAGGTGACAAAGATCTCGAATACAAACATTATAGAATCAATAAGCAAAAATGGACAGTGGCTAGCAGCGGAAACCAGGACGCGCGTCTCGTCCCATTCGAGACTCGTCAGCTGGATGTACCTACACATCAGAGTTGATGTTCACTCTGGGACTCGAACCCAGTACCGTCCACTTCAAACGCTATCGCGTTATCCACTTAGCTACTAAGTCCTGAAAGCTAATCAATATTTTTTCATTTCGGATAAGAATTTTATATAGCTACTTGTGAATATTATTTATTTCTAAATATGCCATAAATTTGAATCTCAACCGAGTTCTCCAAGGTTTCTGTTTAATTTACGAATAGAAAACATTCTAAAACAGCTTGGTTTTTATTAGTAAAATGATTCACTTCCACCTTCATGTATTCTTTCAAAATATGATTCAATGATAGAAATGATATTAAAATTATACATTGAATATTTCTTTTAAAGTAAACTTTACAAGTAGAAAACGTTTTATTTTCACCATCTATAATATAAGTAGCCGTGAACCACTTATTCTTAGGGTTGATACTGTTGACTAAATTGATCTTGTTGAGTTCTTAATTGAATAAGTAATTTTTTCCATATTATTAATCATCTACCCCTCCAAATTTCATTTAGCTCAACATTTAAACTGAACACGAAGTCTCTGTTCTTGAGAAACAAAACATGGGAAGTAATAATACTAAAATGACATGTATAAGTCAAGTTGTGAGCAATGATATTTCTGTCAATAACAAGAGTCACCTGTTGTAGTTAGTTGTTTCTAAAAGTTTCAGGAGTCTAATAAAGTAGTACTCAACGGTGGGCAATATGTATTCACTACCACTTTATTTCAATAATTGGTCATTTTAATAAATTTGGCTGAAATTTCCTACTAACCTAGAACACGAATCTGTCACTAAAGGTTTACATTTGATGGAAAGCAACAATACTACTGATAAATATAGTTTTGAAGTTTAATATTGATTGCAAACTGATCTCAGTTGAATGGTCATTAACAAAACTGAGATATGGACGACTGCTTAGTTCAGCATTTTTAGTAATGTGCCTCTCAAAACACTACGTAGAAGCAAATTCACGACTCAAATATACTACATAGTTATGACAACGTTAACCCACCAAGACACAATCTAGTAACCTCTGGTTCCAGTTAAGTCTATATGTGATGTTGCATTAACGTCGTTTCATATCATCGAAGAGTTTTTGTATTACTGTGGACTTGACCGATTCCACAATGTGTCTATCAAAATCTGTTAATCACGTCTTATTAGAGCACTATTAATGTAACACAACAAACAGTTTAAACAAAAAATATTACTAAGAACTTGTCTTTAAATGCAAAACAGTCTAGTTTCATAGTACGCCACCTGCTAATAAGGGGTTCAAAATGGATACATAGGAGGTACTCAAAGTTATCCACCAGCAATCCGAATCTCTATCGTTAGAATTCAAAGAAGTTATGGGAATTAATAGGTTTTAATCAGACATCTGTTTTGAAAATGAGTCAACTGTTAGTGTACAACTGCCTTGGAAACAAAAGTAAACAGACATCTTACCGTTTTTATTTTTCAGTAAATCAGAATTTCAACTTAGCAAGTTTAAATTGCGTGTTTGTATCTTGTTTCATAAATGCTAAAGAGATCTTGTTACGTTACGTAGCAAGCCTTTCTTGAATATTCTAGTGCTATCACTCAAAGAAATTATAAAGATTTTGTGAAAACTTTAGTTGCTAATTTCATTTACATTACAAGCAACTATACTTCATTGATGAACAATTCGGTTTTTGAATTCTAACTTATGTTAATGATTAGAAATAACTTATTTCATTAACATACATAGTTTACTGAAGTGAAAATTATGTAATAAAATGAATTCATCATATTTTAGAAATATTGTCAAAGGAAAGAATTGCATGGAACGTTTAGTGCAAAATTCATACCATCTTCAAACGACGAATATTAGTGCGAACAATTGTTCCCAATGACTTCGAAATCAGGCCTAACGGTTAAAAATCTATACTTATTATAATGCTTACCCTTCTTAGAGAATTGGACATCGACCAGCAAACTCTAACCTACTCTATCCCCCGTTTTCCTTTCCAGCTGTTTCCAAGTACGATTCACCCTTTCGATGTTTGTCACCATTTCCCTATCGAATGTGTTTTTTTATCTACATTCTTTCCTTTAGTCAGGGCTTGTTTTTTTTACAGGGTTTTACGATTTCTGCAACATGTACCATATCCACCTCTATTGAGTTTTCCTAATTTCCTTTCCATATGGAATCTGGTTTATTGTCCACTACAGTTGATTATGACAAATAATATCTGGTCAATGGATCTGAAGTATGTTGCGTAGACATATATTTACAACTACGTGTACCATTTTGATGATGATTGTAGTAGTTGTTGAATTTTCGTCTTCGTACAATAGAATTGTGTTGAAGTTTGTGTTGAAATTGTGACCTTGGTATTGACTGTCATTTATTTTGTGTTCCATATTTTCTTTAGTTATAGGAATGCTGCCATTTATGCCAATCCATCCCTTTCAATCTGCATCGCGCGGTTCTTATCTATCAATGATAATACTTAGATATTAAAAAGTTTCCACTTCTACCAGAGCTACTCCATCAGGTGTGATTATATCGGTGCACTCTGTGTTGTACGTTAGGATATTACTATACCGTTTGTGAATGTTAAAACCTACTGTTGTTACACTAGCTGTTTTCACCAGTATTTGGTGCTTTAAGTGGAACAGAAATGCTAGACTATCTACAGAGTTCAAATATTCTGCTCGCATCCAAACTGTCCACTTTATTTAGTGCTTGCCCTGAGATATGGAGGTCTTCATATATCATTCAAAAACCAGGAGAAAGAGGATATGCAAGAGTAGGCAGCTTTGTATAACACCGGTATTCATTTAGAGTGAGTTCGTGAGCTCTTCTCTATGCGTAACTTTACAATTTAGTCCCATTTAAGAGTTTCGTATGATGGAAACGATCTCAAATACTCCACAGTATCAAAGAAAACTGCACAATTTTCTCCCATCCACGCTATAGAGGCTGATGCATAGCGGCAAGTTCCACTCAACAGATTGCTCAACAATCATTTGAAGAGTCATTATTTGATTGATATATGATCGATCGGGCTTGTGATGTCTCTGTAGTTCTGACACTTTCTGATATCTCTTTTCTTCATTATGATGACAAGTAAACCTTATTTCCAGGCTACTGGTACTTGTTTCTTTTCCCAAATGTTTTTGAAAAGAACGTAGAACAATTCTATAGTCACCTCGATATCGGACTTCAGTTTGATCCTGATTTATTTTCGTTAGCTCCTTTTTGCCAAATTTCTATTTTAACAAGATCGGATTACTAACTCCATGCCTGTCCATCCCCCTTTATCTGGGCTTGGAAGCGGCAGTAAATCCAGAAGGACTTCAGGCGCAATTACAATGGTCAAAATAAGAAACATAAATCAGTAACTTAAACTAGGTTGCACGTTAAAGCAGCAAACGTTTACTTCTATTACAACTTAAATGTCATTTGTAAATTAGAAAGCATTCAACAGCTCGTAATGATAAATTTGCTTTAAATCAAACCTACTATCTTCATGTCATGAAGGGAGACAACTGTTTCGGTTCTCTATAGTTCTCAATAATTCTCTAACTGTTGACAATTTTTGACAGAGTCATTATCTAGACTTAAGATAGTTAATCAGATCACGCAAGTAAATAATGTTTATGAATTCACTAGTGAAAAAATAGTCAGGAGTGACATTTTTTTAAAAACTATAGAAAGAAGAAATAATTTTTTAAAAAAACAATTTAAGAATGAGACAGTTACCTAAGTGTTGTATATCGATCGGTTGCAATTCTGATTTATATATATTCAGTAGCATCTTGCTTTCAATGTGATATTGAAATGACAAAGTTAATATTCAATGAACATTCACTGAATATAGACTAATACTTACTTACTTACACCTGTTACCCCTCGTAGACGAGCATAGGCCGCTCACCATCACTCCCCTTCGAACTTTGCCCTGAGCAATACTTCCCAGCTGTTTCCAGTTGCTATTGATTCTTTTGAATATGAACTGATAAAGATGTTAAAACTAAAATAGATTAATTGTTTAGCTTCCTTCATGTATTAATGACTCTAGCTGACCTCAGTTAATAATTTAAATGTTTTTATCATATTATTTCTTTACGGTTATATGGAATTAATTCATCTTGTAACGATTAACGCGTCAAAATACAGGATTTCAATGTGTAGATTAGTGGACAAATACCTCAAGGAAATTACCTTTAAATAATCATTCAGTTAT